AGGCCAGGCGAGGATATGCATGCCTCGATGTGAGTGATATTGAGTTGGCCACACCTAGCCAATAACGTGACCACCAAGCCACGCCCACCAATTAAGCCACGCCCACAGAACAGGTTGTTAAAAAATTTGAATCCCACCCCTGCTGACGTGTGCTATTGCGTGCACGAACAGCAATACAATAATCCTTACCTGCTATGTTACTTTGAGGGAGTAACACAGCTGAGAAGCGGCAATCTGCTCTTCCGTGCTGATCAGCTGGGACGATAAAAATCAGTACAGCGGGTGGGCGGGAGGGCCCACATGATTGTCGGAGCGAACCAGTTCACTCCCAGCTGATCTTCAGAGCTAGGGATTCGTCCGAACCGGCAGAATCCCACCCATGGCTGGGAGGGAGACTCCAAAGATGGAGGAGTAACTCCATAAAGCTTTGTTATACCACCAGGGATTGGTTAGGTAGGTTCTCGCTCAGTCAGTCAGTGGAAGGTCAGGGGTAATCTATCCTGGCAGCCATTTTATGCGCCCAGATGTGTTTTCCTCAGAGAACACGGCTCTGGTTAGCATTTATGACATCGCCACAGAAAGGCAATAAATCAAACTCTACGACACCGCCACATAAGGGAATCCTCGACATACAACCACAGTTTAGGCCAAAGTTTACGCTGCTAAGCGGGACATTTGTGAAGCGGGTTTTGCCCCCATTTTATTACATTTCTCTCCGCCATTGTTAAGCAAATCACTGCACTGGTTTAATTTAAGTCACCCGGTTGTTAAGTGAATCCGGCTTTCCCAGTAGACTTTGCTCGTCAGAAGGTTGCAAAAGGGGATTGCATGACAACCCCCCCCCCCCAGGACGCTGTGACCGTCATAAATATGAGTCAATTGGCAAGCCTCTGAATTTTGATCACCTGACCATGGGGAATGCTGCAACGGTCATAAGTGTGAAAAGCCGTCATCACTCACTTTTTTCAGTGCCCCTGTAACTTTCAACAGTCACTGAATGAATTCTTGTGATCAAAAACTACCCGTATTTAGGAGCAATTTAACAAAATATTAGCAGCAAACACAGAGAAAATATTAACAACCAGCCAGGATTGAAGTTCTACAGGTTGCTAAGTGAGACATTTGTGAAGTGAGTTTTCCCACCATTTTACGACTTTACTCGCCACTCATTGTTAAACGAATCCCTGCAAGGGTTAAAATTACCAGTTGTTCAGTGAATCTGGCTTTCCCCATAGACTTTGCTTGTCGGAAGGTCGCAAAAGGGGATCGCGTCTCTCTCTCTCTCTCTCTCACACACACACACACACACGGGATGCTGCACCAGTCATAAGTGTGAATTTGTATCACGTGATCGCAGGGATACTTCCACGGTCGTTAAGTGTGGGGAAACGCTGATAAGTTGCTTTTCTCAGCGCCGTGGTAACTTCGGTCACTGAATGAACTTATTGTAAGTCGAGGGTGAGCTGCCTAGCACAATTCCTGCTTTCAGCTCATCTAGGGCAGGGCTGTCAAACTCGATTTCATTGAGGGCCGCATCAGGGTTGTGTTTTGTTCAGAGTATTGCAGTGTAAATTCAGCGCCAGAAAAAGTAAACACAGATGGCTGAGGCTTCATTTAACTTCTTCATAAACACATAAAGTAAATTTTACAATACCAGTCGTAGATTTCTCCAACGTGGAGCAAACTCAAACAGAAGCAGACATGTTACAGGTTCAGAGCAGAGCAGCAACTCAGCTTCAGCTCAGAAACAGACCTCAGTTTCACTTTAGTTCAGCGGAGGAGATAAGCAGTGTCATTTTCAATAGACAGACTTCAGAGCTGCAGAGCTTAATGTATAGAGCCATGCCTAGGCTACTTCTAGTTTCAGTTTCCAAACAGTCCTCATTGGCTGACTTAGTTGCTAGGCCTATTCATTGGCTGACCTTGTTACCATGCTCTATTCCAGTTCATGAATATACTCTTGACATGTTTGACCTGGGGGGGCAGGGATGCGTGGCTGGAGGGGGGGGCATGGACAGCTTGACAAAACTCATATCGGGGGCGTCTGTGGTTACCCAAGCGTTCTGCCAGTGAAAATGGGTTCCGTTTCAGCCAAGACAGCCTCCTGCCACCCTCTGCTGGCAAAAATGGAGCTCCCGGCCTCCATTTTCTGCTGCAATGGCCTGCTGCTGCCCTCTGCCGGTGAAAACAGAGCTTGTGGAGCTGTGCGTGCCCCCCCCCCCCCCCCCCGGGCTCCATTTTTGGCCGTGACGGCCTCCTGCCATCCTCTGCCGGTGAAAATGGCGCTTGGGTGTGTGTGCATGTGAGCTCTGTTTTCACTGGCAGAGGCACCGCGGGGCAGAGCCCTTCACTGTTTTCTAAGCAACACTAAGCAACCCCTGGGCCGAATTCAGCCCCTGGGCCTTGAGTTTAACCCCCCCCCCCCCCCCCCCAGGCTGGGTGTGTGTGTCTCGCCAGGTATCCATCTCGGCTGTTTGTCCAGAAAAGGGGCACCCGGGAACTGCTTAGGAGCCCCATCTTGTGTCAAAGTCCTGAAAAGAGGTCTGTGAATTAACCCCTCGTTCGGGAAACCGTCTGCTGACCGTAATCCTCTCCCAAGATTTACGTGGGTGATTAGCATGGCTTGGCCCGGATCACGCGTTGTGGGACTGGAATTCCGACAGGGTTTCACAGGGGGGTTAGCTAAGATTCTTTGCAGTTCGGGGAACCCCCAAATCCCACTCCTGGATGGCCCCTCCCCTCCCTGGAGTCTCCACGTGGCCCGTTTTGGATGCTGGGAAGTGGAGGGCATGCACGGAGGCTCGGGGAGGGCAAAAAATGGGCTTCCTAGAAGTTCAGGAAGGCCGGAAATAGGCCCTTTTCTGGCTTCCAGAGAGCCTCCAGAATCCGGGGAGGCCATTTTTGCCCTCCTGGAGGCTCGAGGAAAGCCTCAGGAGTCTGGGAAGAGCAAAAACACCCCCCTCCGCCGTGGTGCAGGAGGCCAACTAGGCCACATCGACTGTGGCCACGCCCACCCAGCAACCAGGCAGAGGACCCTTTGCTGAAATTTTTTAAGCCCACCCCTGGATTCCGACAATGGTGCTTCCCGCTCCGGAGTCCTTCTCTCCGTTTGGGTTCATCAACCGAGGCTTTCCGCGGTAGGAGGTGTGACTTGACGTCCCTGTTGGGCAGCATAAAAGAGAGAAAAAGAGTTAACACAAGCATTTCCGTCCTTTGCAGAGTTTAGACTTTGCCAGAGTGGATCCTTCAGCCTGGGAAGAGCCCCCTCCCGCAGACACCCCACCCCCTACCCCAAAATTGGCACCAGAGCCCTCCGACAGTAGTTAACAAATTTGCAGTTTATTTATTTATTTCTTAATGTAAAGATAAGGGAAAACTTTAAATACAAGGTAACCCCCGACTTGCAATGGTTCGTTTAGTGGCCGTGCAAAGTTACCGCGGCATTGAAAAAAAAGTGGCTTACGACCATTTTTCACAGTTATGACCTTTCCTCCATGGGCAAGTGAGCCGAATTCAGACACTTGGCCACTGACTCGTACTTATGATTGTCCCAGGATCACGCGATCCACGGGTTACTAACTTATCAACTGTGGTGATTCACTTAACAACGGAGGTGAGAAAAGGTCGTAAAACAAGGGGGCAAAGGTCACTTCACAAATGTCTCAGAAATTTTGGGGCTCCACGGAGGCTGTGTGTTGAGCCCTACCTCTGTTTCAATCCACCAGAGAATTGTTAGCTTTGCATAAAAATTCTTACAACCTGTTCGACTTTTTTTCGCCCCCTCCCTTCCCATCAATCTAACTCTTGATTCAACGCATAGAAGCCGTGTAACTAAAGTGCAGGTAATTCTTGCCTGCACAAAAGGCTTGTCTCTGTAAGGGCTCTTGTGAATTTTCTTTTTTTTTTTACTTCCCGCAAAAGGGGAGTCTAAAATTCTTTTCAAGGAGAAAAAAACAGATAAAACAGAAAATCAGAGTTGGAAGGGACTTTGTGGGTCATCTAGTCCAACCCCCCCCCCCCCAAGCAGGAGACCCTACACCATTTCTGACAGAGGGCAGTCCAGTCTCTTCTTGAAAGCCTCCAGTGATGGCGCTCCCACAACTTCCAAGGGCAAGCTGTTCCATTGGTTGATTGTTCTCACTGTGAGAAAATTTCTCCTTATTTCCAGGTTGAATCTCTCCTTCTTCAGTTTCCATCTATTGTTCCTTATCTGGCCTTCGGGTGCCTTGGAGAATAGCTTGACCCCTTCCTCCTCTCAGGCGCAGCCCCTCAAATATTGGGAACACTGTTTTCCTGTCTCCCCTGGTCCTTCTGTTCCCTAGACTAGCCATGCCCAGTTCCTGCAATTGTTCATCGCATGTTTTAGTCTCCAGTCCCCTAATCACCCTGGTTGCTCTTCTCTTGAGATTCTTTCTAGAGTCTCAACATCTTTTTTTATAGTGTGGTGACCAAAACTGGACGCAGTACTCTAGGTGTGGTCTTACTAAGGCTTTATAGAGTGGTATTAGTACCTCCCTTGATCTTGATTGTATGAAGCAAAAGGCTTGTGGATACTGGGGACTACAGTCCAGTAATTTGTAGCGAACAAAGTCCCTTCTCTGTTTTTGGCATCTTGTGTCTTGATCTCCTTCCAAAGTAAATTGTGATTGCAATAACAACATCATGTCCCTATCAAGTCTCAGCCTGGGCATTTTCTATGCCGGATCTAAAAATGTGGAATTTCCTGCTCAGCTCTTTGATAAAGCCTTTTTTTTTTTAATGATTCCCTGTTACACCTGCTGAAGTCCCAAATTAATCTCTCAACTGGAAAATACGGAATTTCCTGATTTTAAAAAATGGTTGGCATAAGGCTCGAAAACTCAAGGAAAAGGAAAAAAGAAAGAAGAAGGTGCCAGAGTATCTCACGGAAGGAGGCAAAATATGATTTTGCTTGGGACGCTAAGGCATCGAGAGCTGGCCCTGCCTTTGACCAGGGTGTCAGCGTCTTTGTGAGCTTTTAGGAAGACCCTGCGGTCTCTGTATTACTGGACTTTCATGTTGGGGTCCCAGGGTGAGGTGGGGCATTTGCAGAGGCCCTATGCCATGCCCCTGTCGGAATCTGATTCGGAGGGGGAGGCTGAGCGAGAGTGGGAGTGTGGCTCTGTGGACTGGGGAAGAAACTGGGGAAGTCCGGCTGGGCAGAGCAGGGGAGAGGTAGAACAAGGCAGAGGGAATTCAGAGGAAGATCCAGGCCATCCCCTCTTCATCCTAGGGCACGCACGGAGGCACGGAGAAGGGAGCAACGTGAGTTGCGTGGCTTACAGGGGAGGAAAGGGCCCTGATTCCCTTCATTAGCTGCAGCTGGAAACACAGTGTTTAAAAAGGGAAGTTGTGCACAGCAAACTGTTGAGAGCAAATCGTGAATTATCTGGTATTGTCGAGGCTTATCTGGGTTCCTGGCGTCTTCCCAACTGTGTGTGTTTTGCTGGCCTTTCAAGTCTGCAATTCCTTCTCCTGCCCTGTCCAGTTAATTGCTGCAGCGTGGTTTGTTTGGATTTTTAATTGCAGTTTGCATGTACTTTGTTTTGGGACTGAATTTCCTCCACTTAAAGACTTTTCTTGAGAGAGATTTTTTCCTCCAGCTGAAGGTAACCTGGACATTGGGGGCAAAGTTGGAGGTATTAGGTACCTCTGTGGTGCAGTGGTTAGAGTGCAATACTGCAAGCTACCTCTGCAGCCAGCTGCCTACAATTTGGCAGTTCAAATCCCACTAGGTTCAAGGTTGACTCAGCCTTCCATCCTTCCAAGGTGGGTAAAATGAGGGCCCAAATTGTTGGGGGCAGAGACTGGCTCTGTAAACCGCTTAGAGAGGGTTGCAAAGCGCTATAAAACAGTATATAAGTCTAAGTGCTATTGCTATTGCCATTAAAGGGACTCTTCTTACTTATGTGACTGTGTTGCCTTTGTGCCACACCCCCGGTCATCACAGCCTACAAGAAGATGGGGTGGTGGTGGAAGTGATGGGAGCTTTGTCCTGGCCAAAGGTCCCTTGAGACAGATTTGGCTCTTGCTCCTACATCGTTGTGTCAATGTAATTCGTGTTCCCTTTGGCTTCCCCTATAGGGCGAAGGAAGACCTGTTGGAAAGCACAATTCTTTTAAATTAAAAGGCGAGCCGGGGAAAAACTCCCGAGAAGCCCACCTGGCCCCAAAAGAAGCCCGCCTTGCTCAGACTGAAAAAAACACACGCCAGCATTTGAATTTGGAAGAAGCAGAGGGTATGTCATTTTTAAAATATATGCAGTAGTGTGTGTGTCTCGTCTGCCGTGGCGACCCAAGTGGAGTGCAATGATCCCTTCCGGCCATGTATATTGGCGATGCAATAAACTTCATTCGCTCTGAAGTTACGTTCCTGTATTGCTGGAAGTGTTTGGGACGAATGTGAAGGACGTCAGAGCTGAGCCCTGCCTGGTTCTTGGTGCTCATTCGCTTCGTCTCGAAGTGAGCCCCTGCCCCACGCTGGGCGGGGGCTGGGGAGAAGAGAAGGAAGGGGGAATTCTGTGATCTACCCACAGGGTACCCGTGGTGTCATCGACAGGTCGCTCCGACCTCCTGAATCCTCAACTTTTCTTTGGAAAACAGCGGTTCATGATGGCTTTTCTTATCGATCCATCGTTGGGTCTAGGACAACCTGCCGTGGCCATCTTGCCTCGGCCAACTCGCTGCCAAATGACTCACGGTGGGACAAGAAGTTATACTAAGATCGAAGAAATGGTGGAATAGAATCGTTAAAGAAAGGCTGCCAGAGGAGAGACCAAAACGCAACGGGAATGAGACAAATTAATATATATATATATATATATTTTTAATGATTTTAAATAATTAAACAGAATTGTTGGCTTGTGCCTAGTGGGTTGGCCAGGGCGAGGTGGCTCGCAGCGAGTTGGCCACGGCGAGTTATCCCATTGCATTGCTTATCAGTCCATAGTTGATGTCTCCATCGCGGCTTCCACCAGCCCAGTCTTTCCGGAAGTTTCCACTTTGGGTTAAGGGAGCCTCCCTACCTCAGAACCTTGAGCTGACCCTCGATCTGGAGCAGTAGTGGGATCCTACCTTAATCGCTACCAATTTGGTGGGTGATTGTGCGTGCGTGTGCACGCCCCTAACGCGTGTGTGCCTAACAAGCCAATCAGCTGAGAGGATGAAGAAACGAAAAGCTAGGCCTCCCACCCGCCCCCGTGCGCTTTTCGGTCTTTTATGCACTCAGCTGATTGTCGGAGGGCTCTTTTTTTACTCGGCCGAACCAGTAGTGATTTTTACTACCGGTTCAGCCAAACTGGGACGAACCGGTAGCATCCCAACCACTGATCTGGAGAGGCCGGGGGTTAAGGGATCCTTTCCCCAGGCCCTCCCCGGCCCACCTCTGCTTTCCAACTTGCCACCGTGGCTTCTTCCTTCTGGCGCATTAAAGGCAACACTTGGCAGGCAACAAAGATTGAACCGCTTCTTCAAAAGCCAGGGGCATGTTTTGCAAATTAGGGATACGCATAATATGCCGGGATATTCCCACGCTTGAGACAGTTCTTTTACCTGTTGCGAGCTTAGGTGCCAGTGGAGGTAGTCCTCGACTTATGACCACAATCGAGCCCAAAATTTCTCTTGTTAAGCGAGACCTTTTTCAAGGGAGTTTCAGGCCATTTCCACCATCTTCCTCGCCCCCATTGTTAAGCGAATCACTGCGGTTGCTAGGTAAGAAACATGGTTGTTAAGTGAATTGGATTCCCCCCCGCCCCCCATCATTTTTGAATGCTGCACGCGTGCGCTCACAGAACCAGTTGTTAAACCGATTGCAGCCCAGCACCGATCATAGGCCAGCCTTGGGTATGTCTCACTCGCTGTGCCTTTCCCTGTTTTTCAAGCCCTTGTTTACTACACAAACACACCCCTTTTTTTCCCAAAGCAGGCATTTCCCCTATAAAATTCCTATCGCCAAACCACCTTGGAAGAAACCAGGCTCCGAGAGATCACGAAGGATCTTGCGTTCACACTGGATTAGTAGCAGGCTCCCTGTGTCAGGATTCCGGCAGTTACCCCCCATTCAAATCATGAGTCTCGAGCCAAACTTCCAAAACTTAAAAAAGATTTATTGGGGGTTAACATGCCAGCACTGCCTGGGTATAGCTGACTCTGAGACACCTCATTCCTTGTCACCCTTGACCCTGGTTTCCCCCCCACCCCCTGGGTGTATCATAATTTATATTCTCCAATGGGACACATCCATAGCCCAGAATCATCAATCAGGCTCTCCAGTTAGAATTTTGTGTGGCAGAAACTTTGTTCACCTAGTTACTATCTCTGAAAACATTTATGGAATGCACTTTCGGTTTTGCAAGCTGCTGCACTGCTCCCCCCTCCCTTTCTGTTGGCAGCTCTAAAAGACCATAGAAATATTTTATGAGTTGACACCCTGTTCCTATGGACTAGCCACGTTGGCACCAAGGGTCTCCTTGGAAGAGTCAGGATCAGACCGGGGTGGTGGGGCAGAGATCCCCTAGCTGACACTTCTGGAATGAGGTGGGGCTGAGTGGTTCAGTCAGTCCCATCCTCTCGGGTGCAGTTTGGGTCCAAGGATCAGGAGGTGGACACACAAAAGACCAAAAAGATGATAGGGCCACCTCCGGTGAAAGTCCAGGTGTCAGGGTTCCAGGTAATAACACCCACAGCAAAGAGAACTACGAGGCAGATGAATTCCTCAAAGAACAGGTTTATTGGATATATCATATTGGCACAGGCTGGTGAAAACTGACTCTGAATATTCTTGTGGTATTCACCTAATTAAAAGTAAAAGTTTTGTCCTTCCCCCAAACAGTCACATGGTCCAATCAAAGTGTCACCCGGCTGCCTGGTGACTTCACTCCTCCCCTCTCTGACCATCGGTGGGAATGTCCTTGGTTCCCAGGGGAAAATATTTTGTTTTGACTACAAAACCCCAGCTATCTCTATTTCCCCCCTCCCTATCCCCTAGCTCCAGTGTGGCAACCCTGAACCCTCAAAATGGCTTTGGTCAGGTCAGCTTCAGGGTTGACACCAGGCTGGTCTCAAGGACAGTGTCCAATGGGACATTTGATGGTTATGGGTGTCGCCACATTGCTTGCAACCCTTAACAAGGCATGATTTCTCCGCAGAGAGAAAGACAAGTGTTTTTCCACCCAAGGTGTTTAGCGTCTGCGCAGGCATCACCTTGGTATGGCCACCACTCTCCAGAGCATCGAACGAGCCACATCTTCAATTAGAATCATAGGGTCCTGGGGTTGGAAGGGGCCAACCCCCTGCCCGAGGCAGGAATCCTCATACCATCCTAGACAAACGGCTGTCCAGTCTCTTCTTAGAAAACTACATTTGTGCAGTTCAGCGATCGGTTCATTTTGTGGTTCAGAAGACTCCTGGTGATAGGGCTGGAAGGGACCTTTGGAGGTCTTCTAGTCCAACCCCCTGCTCAGGGCAAGGAGACCTCAATGCCATTCCAGACAAGTGGTCAGCCCAATCTTTTCTTGAAGACCTCCAACGATGGGACACCCACAGATCCGGGAGGCAGGCTGTTCCATTGCTTCATTGCTCTCACTGTCAGGTGAGTTCAAGGTAGGACCTCTCTTTGAGGAACCTCTACCCATTAGTGGTGGGGCACCTGTCCCACCGAACAGCAAAGCCATGGCTTTGGGGGATAGCCCAGACGATGACTTTGGACCACCAACACGGTAGAGGACCTGACTCCCAGCACCTCTGTCCAACTACTTGTTCTAGGCTTCCCTTCTAGACCAAACACCTTCAGCAGGTAGGTGAAGCTCTCTTGGATCCTTCACAGAGAGAAGTGTTGGGAAAAGCCTCCTAGCTTGGGCCATTCAAGGGGATGGAAATAAAGACAGGGCATCTAATGGTTTGCCGCCATGGTGGGGGTTCAACACTTTTTCCTACCGGTTCGGTGTGAGCATTTGCACACGCGCAGCATTTGCAACTCCCCTTCTGCAAGCCCTGTGTGTAAAGGGTGGGAGGGCCCAGCAGCCGATCATCGGAACTACCAGTTTGGCCGAACCGGGCTGAACCGGTAGCATCCCGTGAAATGCTTTTGCTGGCCTTTGAGCTCCTGGATGTCACCCAGGCAGGTCAAGGGGCGGGAAGCATAACTTGTATAGAATCCTCCAAGTGCAAAGGTTGAAGGGAACCCCCCCAGAGATCATGTAGTCCAGTCTCCTGCAGGAATCTCTTCCGGCAGCTTCTTCGATGGAGGAGCAATCAACTCTATTGCTGGACAGGTGTCTTTTTTTAAAAATGATGATGATTAGGACAATCCTCCTTTTGTGGCTAGCCTGAATCACGAAGTCTTATCACAGCAGGCTTTGCCTTCTGACTTGCCTTCCAGCTCGTTACCCCCCCCCCCCCCACCGCACTCCCAGCCTAAACTTTTCTTACTACGTAGAGAGACGGTTGGGTCTAGTGGCCAAGGTGCCAGGCTAGAAACCTGGGAGACCAGGAGTTCTAGTCCCGCCTTGGATCCAAAGCCTAAGGAAGGACCATAAGATCAGAGTGGCAGTTCTGGGATCCCACCACAATGCTGCATCTGCATTCCAGGCAATTTTGGACAGCCGGTCCTGAAAGATCCCCTGTTGGCCCACCGGCCAGGTAGGTACATTCCCCGCCCCCCTTGTGAAATACTTTGCAAAGGAAAAATTCAAGCTTCATGTCTTGTCCTGGGCTGCTTCTCTCCGCTTGTGGCGATGTGGCTCTATTACACCAGGGGTCCCCAACTGCTCAGTTGCTTCCTGCCAGGGTTCTGGCAATTGCCCCCATTAAATCATGAGCCCCGGCCCAAGCTTCAAAATAATTCAAAAGATTGATTAGGAGCAACATAGCAGCATTCATCGGTATGAAGCCAACTCTGGTGGACGTAATTTATAGTCACCTGTGACCCTCTTTCCTCCCCTCCCCTCTGGGTGTGTCATAAATCAGATTCTCCAACCCGGGCTGCGTGTCATCAATCATGTTCTCCAATGGAGGAATTTCTTGGGCAGAAGATCCGGTAGGTTAGCTACAATCTTTTTAAGATCAGGGTGGAATGTACTTCTCGTTTTAAACTGTCGACCTGCTCCTTCAAATTATCCCCCCCCCCCACATTGTTTATGGCAACTTGAAAGCATGCATAGGAATGTTTTACGAGTTGACACTCGATCCGTGGACCCACACAGGGCCCGCATCAGTAGTGGGATTCAGCTGGTTCACACCACTTCAGGAGAACCGGTTGTTAACTTTCGGAGCACTTTGGCGAGCTGGTTGGTTGGAAGAACTGTTTAGGGCAAGAGAACCGGTTGTTAAATTATTTGAATACTGGCCCACGTGCCAGGAACCAGGCCACACAAACAAGCAAAGCCCCATCCACAAACCACGTCCCCTCCGATCCATGGAAAAAACCCTTTCTCCGCGGAACCCAGTGCCCAAAAGATTGTGGGGGGGGCAGGGGTGGAATGCAAAAATTTTTTAACTACCGGTTCTGTGGGTGTGGCTAGGTGGGCATAGCCAGGTGGTCATGTGACTGGGTGGGCATGGGTGGGTGTTTTTTGTTTTTCCCTACTGGGCCGCAGGGAAGCTGCCTGAGAGCAAAAGGGGGCACAGGGGGCCCATGCAGCACACACACACCCCACACCCCCTTTTTTTGCCTACTGGGCCTCAGAACAACAGCGAGGGTGGGGGGAATCAGCTGTGCCGTGTGATTTAGATTAGCTAGAAAACAAAAAAAATCCAATGATTTCTTGCTTTCTAGCTAATCTAAATCTCATGGCACAGCTGATCTTTGGAAAACAGCTGATCAGTGGGTGGAAAAAAGGAAATACCTTGGTCTTCCGAGCGAACCGGTTCGCTCCCAGCTGATCTTCAGAGCAACCGGTTCGCCTGAACCGGGCTGAACCGATAGAATCCCAGATCCACACCAAGGCCAGTTGAATTCTTATCAAGGTTACAGACTTCTTTTGTGGCCGTTTTACCACCTAATCATAGGTAGTCCTCGAGCTATGACAGGGCCCCACAGTTCCACCCTGAGGTACCAATATTCTCTTCTGTCATTTCCCCGTTAACGTCCAGACCGTTGACAGTCCACCAGCCGATTTAACAACAGTTCTTTGAGTGGCACTGGGAAAAGAGACTTACGGTTGTTTTTCACACTTACGGCCGTCGCAGTGTCCCCCGTGATCAAAACCCAGACTCTTGTCCACTGACTCATAGTTATGACAGTCGCTGTGTCCCCCATGGAGCTAGGGGAGTGTTCCACAATCCCAATTTTGCCGGCCTCCCACAAGCGAAGTCGACGGGGAAGCCCGATTCACTTTGCAACCACAGCAAGAAAAGTCATAAAGCGGGGCAGCCGCTCCCTTTAAACCAACGTCTCCCTTTAGCAGCAGCAAATTTCAGGGCTCCGTTGTGGTCGTAAGCCAAGGACTAGCTGTAGTAACGTTACGATTTTGGCAAATTCGCTTCACAATCGTGGCAAGGAAGGCCGTAACGTGAGATCACGACTCATTTAACGTGCATTTCCCTTAACAACATAAACATTGGGCCCAATTGCAGTCATAAGTTGCGGACGAGCTGTATTTGATGCTCCATTCTTGATCTGTTTTTGTGGCTCTCCTCCCAGAACCCACAGGGCTAGTTTACACACAGGTTGCACGAGGGGGTAGCTGAGCTATTCCTTGGCTGAGCTGTTCCTTTGTCCTCTTATGGCTTTTCTGTGGTGATGTTAATGCTAGCCAGAGCCCGTGTTGTCTGCGGAAAACACATCCTGGCACATAAAATAGCCCGATTGCAATAGTAACTTGAGGACTACCTTAGAGTAAATATCGGGGGGGGGGCAACATTCCTCCATAAACTATGGCAAAGAAACTTCCGCTGGCATCTTGGAGTCTTAGTAGACAACCAGTTGAATAGGAGCCAGCCGTGTGCAGCAGCAGCCAAAAAAAGCCAATGCAATCCTAAATTGCATTAACTAGAGGGATTCAATCGAGATCAAATGAGTTACCACTACCACTCTATAAAGCCTTAGTAAGGCCACACCTAGAGTACGGCATCCAGTTTTGGTCACCACGCTTAAAAAAAGATATTTGAGACTCTAGAAAGAGTGCAGAGAAGAGCAACCAGGATGATGAGGGAACTGGAGACTAAAACATATGAAGAACGGTTGCAGGAACTGGGCATGGCTAGTCTAGTGAAGAGAAGGACCAGGGGAGACAGGAGAACAGTATTCCCAATATTTGAGGGGCTGCCCCAGAGAGGAGGAAGGGGTCAAGCTATTTTCCAAAGCACCTGAAGGCCAGACAAGGAATAATGGATGGAAACTGAACGACAGATTCAACCTGGAAATAAGGAGAAACTTTCCGACAGTGAGAACAATCACCAGTGGAACAGAAGTTGCCTTCGGAAATTGTGGGAGCTTCATCCCTGGAAGCTTACAAGAAGAGACTGGGCTGCCATTTGTCAAAAATAGGGTGTAGGGTCTGCATGGGTGGGGGTTGGACTAGATGATCTCCAAGGTCCCTTCCAACTCTGTTAAATCTGTTAATTCATTTACCATCCCTGGAGGCTTTCAAGAAGATCCTGGACTGCCCTCTGTCAGAAATGGTGTCTAGGGTCTCCTGCTTGGGCAGGTGGCGGGGGGGTGGGGCGGATGGACTAGATGATCTCCAAAGTCCCTTCCAACTCTTGTTATTCTTCCTTGGCCATGAAACTCTTTTTGATTTGTAATTCAGATTCCAGAACGAGAGTGCAAGGATTAGAAATGTTTGATCTTCAAGGCTGTCCATTCTGATGCTTGCTTAACTCCAAGCAGGACAGGCTTGAAGCAGATAAAAAAATTGGATCTCCCTGCATGGAGTTTAATTCCATGTTAGAAGAAAACCTTCAAGAGAGGAGGACAGTAGAGGTAGTTACAACCGTTTGTTCAGTGACCGCTCCAAAGTTACATCGGCCCTGAACCAAAGTGACTTGTGACCGTTTTTCAAACTTAACGACTGTTGCAGACTCCACATGCTCAACCATGTTGCTAACGTAACAACTGCAGGCCTTCCCTTAGCCACGGGGGCAAGAAACAGGCTGTAAAATGGGGCAAGTTCACTTAACAACTGTCTCACTTAGCAGCAGGAATTTTGAGCTCTCTTGTCATAAGTCGAAGACTGCAGATATAGGTTTATTTAATGACCATTGGAAGTTAAAGTGGTGGGCTTTTGCAATGCTGACTCTCAAACTTCTGGGTTTTTTGCCATAGAATTTTTCGAACTTGTATCCAAAGTCCAGAGCAACCGAGCTGACGACCAGCGAGGGTTGCTACGAAAAGAAGACCTGATTTTGCCAGACTTCCTTCAAATGCCCCCGTGCCTGGCGGGCATTTCCACATCTATCCCCTGGGAACCTCCAGGCCCTTCCTCGAGAACGCCTCATCCTGACGGTCAGGAGGAAAGCAGCCCGGAGGACCGAAGTTGCCTGCAACCCCCAAGTGACTCGGTGGCTGGACAGCGAGGTCCAGAGAAGGCCCTGGGGCTGCCCGTGGCCCTTGGTCAGGTGGCCAGCGAGGGAACCGTCCCCGCCACTTGTCCCCGCCCTCCGAATCTGCTTTTGCAGGGCAATCCGAGATGGAAAGAAGAGGTGGAGACGATGGAGGAAGAGGACGTGATCGTGGCAGACCTCAGCCTGGTGCCCAAGGGGGACATCGGCAGCCCCCCAAGCTGCAGGCTGACCCTCTCTGAGATGGGAAGCCCCACTGAGTCCAAAATGGCCTCCGAGAAATTCAGACCAGGTATTTCCCGATGTTGAATGCCTTAGGAATCATTCCCTGTTATGCTTGTTGCACTGTTTGTTACACCGGCTTACACGCATTCAAAAAAAAACACCCATTTGAGCCTCTATAGCAATGATGGCGAAACTTTTCGTTGTGTGCTGAAGGTGCGTGCACGTGCAATAATGCGCATGCGTGCCGGCATCTACAATGCAATGTGCCTCATGCCCCTGTGCAGGCGTGTGCAACACTCCCGCCCCACCCCCTTACCGGCACTGCACATGCACGCGCCTCCGAGCTGATTTTCTGCCCGTTTGAGGCCATTTTCGCCCTCCCAGAGCAAGGTCATTCTAAGGAAACAGAGGGAAACAAAATAGCGTCGCAACCTCGTGGGCTAACACATCACAATGCGAAGCCCTGTCATCTTCCCTCTTCCCTTTTGCCTCTGTGTTCTAGGTCCGCTCCATAAGCCTAGAACCCACCCCCAAGGGAGTGAGGGAAGCCTCGAAGACCCAACCTTCCCAAACCCTCGTCGTGACGTCTACCCTGCCGAGATCAGGAAGGAAATTGGTAGACCTGAACTCCCAATCCACGGCGTCATCGATGTGGACAGCGTGACAACATCGCAAGGCCCACCGTGGTTTTGTCCTGAACCAGAGAGCCGCGTCCTTTTCCACGGCGGTGTCTCAGAGTTCAGGGCCGGCCAGCCAAGAAGACCAACGAGAACTCAAAGGACATCCAACCTTCCCGCTTCCCCAGCTGCCGGGAGCGAGAAGAAAGAGGAGAACGAGGGCCCTTGTAAGGCCACTTTCGTTTGAACGTCTGGACGCACAACTCGGGGGGCTTTGGCTCACCTGTGGAGCCACCATGGGTGCAGTGGTTAGAGTGCGGTACTGCAGGCTACTTCTGCTGCCTGTCGACTGCCTGCAATTTGGCAGTTCAAATCTCACCCGGCTCAAGCTTGACTCCACCTTCTGTCCTTCCGAAGTGGATAAAATGAGGACCCAGATTGTGGGGGGCAAGAGGCTGACTCTGTAAACCATTTAGAGAGGGCTGCCAAGCACTGTGAAGTGGTACATAAGTCTAAGCACTATCGCTAACTCTGCCATGGTGGCACAGTGGTTAGAACGCAGTATTGCAGTCTAACTCTGCTCACTGCCAGCAGTTCGATCCTAACCAGCTCAAGGTTGATTCAGCCTTCTCTCCTTCCGAGGTTCATAAAATAAGGACCCAGATTGTTGGGACAAGAGGCTGACTCTATAAGCAGCTTAGGGAGGGCTGGAAAGTACTGTAAAGCGGTATATAAGTTTAAGTGCTACTGCTAAGTTGGGAGGGAGGGAGGGAGGGAAGAAAAGGAAGGAAGGAAGGAAGGAAGGAAGGAAGGAAGGAAGGAAGGAAGGAAGGAAGGAAGGAAGGAAGGAAGGAAAGGAGGGAGGGAGGAAGATCTGTGTCATCATGGTTAGAATGTAGTATTGCACGCTGACTCTGCTCATTGGCAGCAGTTCGATCCTGACTGACTCAAGGTGGACTCATCCTTCCATCCTTCCAAGGTGAGTCAAATGAGAACCCAGATTGTTGTGGGCAAGAGGTTGACTCTGTAAACTGCTTCGACAGGGCTGTAAACGCACTGTGAAGGGGGATATAAGTCTAAGTACTAGTCCTCCCTCCCTCCCTTCCTTCCCAGTGGTTAGAATGCAGTATTGCACGCTGACTGCTCATTTCCAGCAGTTCAAATCCCACCAGGCTGAAGGTTGACTCAGCCTTCTGTCCTTCCGAGGTGGATAAAATGAGGACCCAGATTGTTGGGGGCAAGAGGCTGACTCTATAAACCACTTAGACAGGGCTGTAAAAGAACCATGAAGCGGTATATAAGTCTAAGTGCTATGGCTACTCATGCAGTGAACACTCTGGGCAGAAGGGAATCTGGTGTCGCCCGTTTGAGAACACGGAAAAGATGCAATCGGCCCAAGCCTACCACCATTGCTAGTCCCAGATCAGAAGAAGGCCAAGTGTCTCTGAATATTTCTCCCTGGATCCCATGACAACTCACCGCATATCCCAACTTGCCACAGCTGGCTCACCGCGGCCAACTTTCCATGGAAAAACTCACCACGTGTTACACTAATTTTGAAGGAACGGTGGAATAGAATCGTTTTTTTAAAAAAAGGAGGGACAAAACAAAACGGGAATGACAACAATTAAAAGCATTTTTAAATTCTTTTAAACGATTTAATGGGATTGTTGAATTGTCCCATGCCGAATTGGCTACATTGAGTTGTCCCGTTCCGTTTGTCCCAGGGCAAGCTGGCCACGGTGAATTGGCCAGGACTACGGCGAGTTGTCCCGTAATGTTTATCCCCAAGGAACAGCTGACAATCCTGTGATTGTTGGGGAAGCCACACTTCACACTTAGATGGAAGGACCCCTTGAATGTGGGCTCGGGGCCTACTTGTATGACACCACTTCTGTTTAATGGGAAGGATCACAACACTGGTAGTTGTGGTAGTCATTCACAGCCACTCACACACTGGTCGTTTGCAGCAAAGCAGAAGTTTCTGGCATGTACTGGATCATGCCACCCCCAAAGTGGAATTCGAACTCTGTTCTGGTGGCCTAACATTCTGGAACGTTTTGGTTTTGCTGTACAGGGCTTTCTTTTGTCAACTGTGTGTAAATCATCATTTAATTTAAGAGTAAACTATCTTTTTGAAATTACACCACGTCTTCGGGCTGCATCACTCAGTAGGGATCCTGGGAGATTAAAAACCACATTATTTCAGGGCGTAACATTCAAAAGTAAAGCACAGTCAGTCCTCAACTTATGACCACAACTAAGCCCCTCCCCACTGATGCCTGTTGCTAAGTGAAACATCTGTTAAGTGAGCTTTGCCCCCATGTTACGATATTTGGCTTCCCTGTTGACCGGGGCACTGAGACCGTCATAAACACGAGCCTGTTTGCCAAGCATCTGAATTTAGATCACAAGACCAAAGGGGGGGGGTGTTGCAAAGATCATGTAAAAAAACAATCATCGGTCACTTTTTTCAGTGCCGTTGTAACTTCGAACAGTCACTAAGCGAAGCGTTGTAAGTCAAGAACTGCATTCTAAGGGGAATAAATAAACCCTACCCCCCTTTCTTTTCCTAGGCCACAGGAGATCTGGAGTCTACAATGCAGAAAGCACGTAGGCCCGTGATGGTGAACCTATGGCATGTTTGTTACAGGTGGCACACACAGCCATTTGTGTTGGCACACAAGTCGCAGGCAAACTTACCTCACTGCGCATGCACGCACCTCACAGCTGATATTTGGCTGGTTTGAGGCCTTTTTCAGCCTCCCAGAGGCTTGAGGAAGGCCTCTGCAGGCTTTGCAGGACGAATGATAGGCCCATTTCATCACTTCCTGTATTTCTGGAAATACCGGAAGTGACGAAACGGGCCTATTATTCGGCCTCCAAAGCCTGCATGCAGAGGCTTTCCTCAACCCTCTAGGAGGCTGAAAAAGGCCTCTAACCAGCCGAAAACCAGCTGAGGCACAGTGCAGGTTAGGGGGCGGGGCGGGGAATTGTGCGAGCATGTGCAGGGGTTGGACATGCGCACATTGCCTTCTGGGTGCTGGCACGCGAGCACGCGATTGCAAGCGTGTGCACAATTTTTGGCACAGGAGCCCAAAAAGGTTAGCCACCACTGATATAAGCTGATCAGATGGGCTTTGTTCAGTGGTGGGATTCAGCTGGTTCACACCGGTTCAGGAGAACTGGTTGTTAACTTGCTGAGAAGTTTGGCAAACTGTTTGTTGGAAGAAATAATTAGGGCAGAGAACCAGTGGTTAAATTATTGGAGTCCCACCATTGGCTTTGTTGCATGCACCAGCTCAAAGGATTGTGTAAAGAATGAAGAATCCTAGAAAAATGAAATCCATCCTAGAAGAATGAAATATTTTGGGTAATATTAAAAAGGCAGAATATTACATTTATTCCCTAAAGGAGAAATGGAGAAACATTGCTCTTAAAGACAGAAAGCAGCCCCCCCCCCCCAAGTCTTCCTTAATAGCCCACAGCGGATGCCAGCACTTAAGAGATTAAGAGCTTATTGAAAGAGGAAGGTGTCTATCAAGATGGCTCTATTCATAAACAAAGCCTAAGCACCAGAGCTCACTGTAACAGCATTGCCAAAAAGGCATTAAGAGTTGTAAATCTAATCTTACGAAGCTTCTCCTCTGGAAATATTGAATTGCTAACTAGGGCATACAAAACTTTTGCTAGACTTGTACTCGAATATAGCTCATCAGTCTGGAATCCGCACTGTATATCAGACATTAATACAATTGGAAGGCAGGTTGGTAGCAATTGCTATTTTCTGCAGTCCTAATTATCCATTGAAGCCGGTGGGATTGTTAATTCATTCTAAACAAGTGGAGTGGGGAAACGGAAGCATTCTGCAAATATTGATCCTCCCCAATTCTCCGCAACCTTCCATTTCTCTCCCAACAATTGGTACATGGAGCAGGTGAATCATTAACCCTTGTGGAAGTCATTGCAGAAGTGAAACTCATTGTAAAATGAAGTAAATTCATTTGACAGCATGCGTCCCCATCTTGCTTTGAGTTCCCATTTGATCCTTCAGTCCTGAGATACAAAGACTCCAGGAAAAGCTCCCAAGGTTGTTTTGTATTTAAAAGAAAAGAAAGGGAAAGGGAAATGGGATGACCTGGAGTGTACCACAAACATAACAAAATCCAAAATGTAAATAAATGTCCTTTAATGCCTCCAACTTGGCCTCACTGTTCAATAGCACTCAGTTGGAGATAAAACGTACTCAAAAATAATCTTCAAAAGAAAGCAATACAGTCCGAATTTAATGAGCAGATAGGTGAAATAAAAAAAAACCCAAACAAACTACAATGACAAAATGTCCACAATGGAACAGGAGAAGTATTTACCAAATTCAAGGAGATAACAAGGCACAGTCTGTTGGAAGACACCCACCAAGATAACTTCAGACCAAAATAAAACACGCTTTGTTTCCAGCGTTTGCCAGTATGCAGGTCCAAATTCTTATGCCGTTGTCACACCTGCATCCCATGAAGAAGATCAAGGCCCTCTCCTCCCAAGTAGACCACATCTCTTCCTTATCCTCTCCTCCCTGCGTGCCCTAGGATAGATAGGAGATGTGCCTGCGTCCTCCTCTGACTGCCCAGCCGGCCTCTGCCCTTCCCCAGCCTCCTCCACAACCTCCGGAGCCCCACCTCCACTCCCTGTCAGCTGTTCGTCGTCTCCCTCAGAGTCTGACTCCACCAGAGGCATGACAGGAAATTAGTGAAAGAGAAGACAATGAAAATCTACATTTTTTCCATGACACTTGCTCTGGTTTCGGGTCTGAGGAATGCTACTACTGGGCTGGTAAGTGTATGTAATATCTGCTTGCTTTTCACATTTTTGCTGGCTGAATCTGGAGTCCTAAAAAGGAGAAATTTGGGGAGGATAGCGGGAAGAGAGAGATGGCTTCCAAGAAATGCTCCTTGTGGCCCAGATTTTCTCCTCCTTACAGAGATCCAGATCTTTCTAACAGGAGTAGATAAAGGGTCATCCTCAACTTACAAATGCTTTATTTAGTGACCATTCAGTATACAGGACTGCTTAACCACGGTGGCAAGGAAGGTCATAAAAAAATGGGACAAAACTCAGGGTCTCCCTTAGCAACAGAAACGTTCGACTCGATGGCGGTTGTAAGTTGAGGACTGCCTTGGATTACAACCTGGAAATGGAGTCTGCGGTAGGTAGAGACATGGAGTCACACGTTAGTAAAGATTGGACGAAGCAGGTGGCTTGTATTGAGGAAGCTGGTAAACACGCAGGTCTTCTCGTCTGGAGACCAAAATCCTTTCCTGAAGGAAATACAGGCGATCCTTGGCGTACAACAGAGTCCAAAATTTCCGTTGTTAAGTGAGAAGTTGCATTTTGACACCACCACCCCCATCTGATCCCTTCTCTTGCCTCCATTCTTAAGTGAATCCCTGCGGTGGCTAAGTTAAATCACCCGGTTGTTAAGCAAATCCAGCTTCCTCCATTGACTTTGCCGGTCAGACGGTTGCCAAAGAGGATATCACATGACAACCCCCCCCCCCCACAAGGACACTGCAAACCGTCGTAAACACAAGTCAGGTGCCCAGCCTCTGAATTTGGATTGCGTGACCACAGGGAAGGCTGCCAAAATGGTGTGGAAAACGGTCATAAGCAGGTGTTGGGCTGCAAAAGAATTAGCAACTGGTTCTCTGCCTGGTTGCTGGGTAGGCATGGTGGGCATGGCCTAGTCGGCCTCCTGCACCATGGCATGAGACCTGTTTTTCACCCTCCCCGGGCTCCGGAGGCTTTCTTCGATCCTCCAGGAGGACAAAAACAGCCTCCCCTGGCTCCGGAGGCTCTCCGGAGGCTAGAAACAGACCCATTTCTGGCCTTCTGGAGATTCTGGGACACCCGTTTTTCGCCCTCCCTGATCCTCCACGCAGTCCCTGCACTTACCTGGGATCCAAAATGGGCCTCATTGAGACTCCTGGGAGGGGAGGGGAGGGGAAGGGTGGGGAGGGCCAGCCAGTCATCGCAACTCGGTGAACCCGATGTAAAAATTAACATCCGGTTCGCCTGAACCAGTGCGAACCGTTAGCAGCTCCATCCCTGGTCATAAGTCAGTTTTATCAGTGCTGCTGTAACTTTGACCGGTCACTAGGTGAACCCATTGTAAGTCGAGGATTAACCTGGAGGCAATCCTGTGCCTGCCCCTCAGACCTTCTGGCTGGGGTTGCCCGGAAGAATGGGTTTCCTCATCTTTTGAACCTCTCCCTAAAAAGAGATTAAAAATAGGGGGAGGGGGGACAAAATGAAACAAAAGTTTGGCAAATTAGTTTCAGAATACAGGCCTTCTCCGGGAATTCCTCTCCCGCCCCTTCTGTCCCAATGGCTTTGATGATGACGTGATGGATGATTGATTGACCAACACGAGGAGAGCAAGGGAGGACACCGGCCTCGGAGAGAGACTGCAGGAACAAGTTGAGGGTTGTTTTCTCTCTGCAACTTGCAGGAGACTTCGCCTCACTAGTCTCTGAAATCCCGAGTCCCTTTTCACACAGAACCTTCTCTTTCTTCAACCCTCTTTCTATTAAATGATAGATCATAGAATAGCAGAGTTGGAAGGGACCTTGGAGGTCATCAAGTCCAACCCCCTGCTCGAGCAGGAGAGTCCATTATTCCAAATATTAGCCTCTGCCTAGGATCAAACTCACAGCCTCCTGATTGTGAGGCAAAGAACTCCATCTCTCTAGGCCACCGCCATGGCATCCTTCAGCTTGCTTGGAAACTTCACCTTCCAAAATACGGAAGCAGGATAATGAGTGAGATTTAACAACAACAGCAACAACAAAGTTGGAAGGGACCTTGGAGGTCTTCTAGTCCAACCCCCTGCTCAAACAAGGCACCCTAGACTAGGGATGGTGAACCTTTTAGGCACTGAGTGTATGTGCATGAAGTGCCGGAAAACTGAAGACTAGCATGCCTGTTTTTTGGCCATTTTTCGGGCTGTTTTGGGGCTGTTTTCCAAAACATGCACGCCAGAAATCAGAAGAGCAGTTGGCGACAGCATGAGTGCCCACTGAGAAGGATCTGCATGCCACCTCTGGCACATGTGCCAAAGGTTTGCCATCATGGCCCTAGATCACTGGTGGCTAACCTTTTTGGGCTCCTGTGTCAAACATTGTGCGCACACTTGTAGACTCGCACTCGCGTGCCAGCACCCAGAAGGCAATGCCACCTCTGGCACATGCCCCCCATGCCCCCTATGCATGCACACGCAATCCCCACCTCCCACCCACCCCTTACCTGCACTGCCCCTCACAGCTGATTTTCACCAGTTTGAGGCCTTTTTCGGCCTCCCAGAGGCTTGAGGAAGGTTTCTGCAGGCTTCTGCAGGCTTTGCAGGACGAAAACTAGCCCCGTTTCGTCACTTCCGGAATTTTCGGAAAAACATTTTAGAGAGAGCAAGAGACAGAGGATCTGTTTATGCGGGGGAAAAGTCAACCAGTCACACAATTTATTCTGACAAATTGCTTCTTTGAAATAAATTTGCATTGCTATTATTCCTAGGAGGAAATAAAAGCAGGCATTAAGACAACAGCCAACCCTCAGTATGAAGTCTATCAACACCAAGGCACCAAAAAGAATGACATGGAACAATCCGGTCAGAATTTAATTATTTATTTGCTTACACACAGCAGACAGAATCTTGCCAGACTAAACTCTTACTATTCTTATCCTGATAGATATACCCCAGGAGACACTAACTAGGCAGTGGATATCCTAATTCTTTCCTCTGCCTCCTATGCAGCTCTTTGCTGAGCTGCCTCTTTTCTCCTTCTTCCCTTTCCCCTTCCTGCTTTCTTTCCTTCCCTAACCTTCCCTTTCCTTTTCCTTCCTTTCCTCTCTCTATCCTACCTTTTCCTTCCCTTTCCTTCCTTTCCTTTCCCTTTCTCTTTCCCTTTCCTTACTTTCCCTTTCCCTTCCCTTCCCTTTTCCTTCCCTTCCTTTCCCCTCTTTATCCTACCTTTCCCTTCCCTTTCTCTTTTTCTTCCTTTCCCCTCCCTTTTACTTTCTTTTCCCTTCCCCTTCCCCTTTCTATCCTACCTTTTCCTTCCCTTCCCTTCCTTTCCCTTTTCCCTTCCCTTCCCTCCTCCTTATTACCTTTCTTTATTCTTCTTTCATTCAAGATTTGTACAGTTTTTAGCTCTGTCAAAAAAAAACACCTTCCTCAGTAAAAGTTATTTAAGAAAGAAGGAAGCGAGTTAGAATTGTCATGGCAAGGACAACCCTAAAGAGAAAACCGCCAAGGGATCCACAGACAGAGGAGACCAATGCAGTGAATAACCACCCTAGAGGAGAATTCTCTACCTGGCCTCCAAGACCTGATCGTGGCTTGGTGTCGCCTAACAATCCTCTTTCCAATTGTGCTGTTCATTCATATGAGGCCAATCCACCGCTGCCTTTTTTGATTTGCTCTTTGACTGCTTTCTTGTGTAGATGTTTCCCATGACTGCAGACGTAACCCTTGTAGAAATGGTGGCACTTGTTTCAGGGAATGTGACCAATGTCCTCAACGCTGCATCTGCCCTGCAGAATTCATGGGGAAACAGTGTGAAGTTGGTAAGCTGAGTCTCAAAAATGGCTTTCGTTTTGAAAATTGCAACTGGGCTGGTTTTGTGAGAACGTTTCGCTTCCTATCCTGGAAACTTCCTCAGTTGTATTGCATGCTGTGGCAGATGGACATTCATGGATGCTTGGTTAGTTGAGATTCTCCACTGGGTCCATAACAATTCACTGCAGCCAACTCTCCATGGCCAACTCACCATGGCCAACTCACCATGGCCAACTTGCCATGACCAACTCACCATGGCCAACTCATCACGCCCAACTCACCATAATCAATTCATTATGGCCAACTCACAATGGCCAACTTGCCATGAACAACTCACCATGGCCAATTCACCATAGTCAATTAACCACAGTCAACTCATCACAGCCAACTTGCCGTAGTCAATTCACAGTCAACTCATCATGGCCAACTTGCCATGGTCAAGTTGCCACAGCCAACTCGCTGCGGGACAAGAGTTACACTAATATCAAAGAAATGGTGGAATAGAATCATTAAAGAAAGGATGAAAGAGTTGGGACAGAATGAAATGTGAATAACGAACATTAAGATATGTATTTATTTATTTTAAATCATGAAATTGAATTGTTAAATTGTCCCGCAGCAAGTTGTCACGCAGTGAGTTGTCAGAGGTGAGTTGGCTGTGCCAAGTTCTCCCATGATGTCTCCACCAACCATCCCTTCTGAAGGGTTCTTGACTAGCCTCCGTTACGTCCCAGAAATGGTCCAGGAGGGAAGGGTGGACTCAGCTCTTTCACAGAACTCTTGCATATCCCAGTTCAAATGCCATCGGGAAACCGAGGCAGCTACCCCTACAACTTTCCCAGGCGATGCTGGGTCAGATACTGTTCTGACCCACGCCCTTTTCCAACAAATCAAATACAATCCAAAGGGAACAGAAACCTTTTAATACTTTTACCAAAATAATTAGCTGTGATAAGCACAAGCCTTGCCAAACTGTGCAAGACTTGCCAAAAGATAACAGACAAGAAATAATTTGCAATACAAAAATCTTCAAATACAAACTCAGAATAATGGAATGTCCACAAGGCTGGAGGTTCAAAACGTCTTTGCCTTCTGCAAAGTACCTTCATTTCACAGCTGGCTATTAACTTCTTGAAGGAGGGGCCATTACCTTGCAGCCTTACTCCTGAGTCGGCCGTGCTGCTGCAGCTTCTCTTTCCTGCAAGCAGCCCTGCATGCTCACGCACTTGGCACAGGCTCCTCGGGAACCTCCTCATTGCTGCTGCCAGCCCCCACAATCTCTGGAGGCAGCAGTCCACTCCCTAATGGTCCTGGCCCCTCAGCTGAGTCCTCGCTCTCTTCAGCCGTCCACACCTGCTGCCGGCTAACCACAACAGATACTGGTCTGCCACCAGTACCCTCTTTTGGTCCATCCTCTGAAGACAAGGTGTGTTCAGCAACCCTCCGATTTCTTACAAATGACCGGAAGTAAACCTGCTGCACGGTTGAAGCTGGGGGTGGGAAGATGCTTCAGGATGAAAAAACCGATTTTACAGCTCTTGATTGCAGACACTGTGGTCCAGAGACTAAAGGCTTTTATGCTTTCCTCCATTGCAGCAAAATGTTTTGATGAGACTCTGTATGAATACTTTGAGGTTGGAGACAGTTGGGCCGGAATCTACCAAGGCTCAATACAAGCATGCACCTGTGTTAACGGCAAAATAGACTGCCATCCAGAAATGTATACAGGTATTGTGGCAGGGGAAATGTTGATTAGAATGCTTCCTTTGATGCATTGCAAAGAGATCCATCAATCGGAATAGAGCTGGAAGGGACCCTGGAGGTTGTTTAGTCCAACCCACTACTCAAGCAGAAGACCCTATACCATTTCAGACAAGTGACTGTCCAGTCTCTTCTTAAAGACCTCCAACCCACAACTTCTAGTGGCAACTTCTGTTCCACTGGTTAATTGTCCTCACTGTTAGGAAGTTTCTCCTTAATTCCAGGTTGCTAGAATTAGTTCCAGGTTGCTTCTCTCCTTGGCTAGTTTCCATCCCTTGTTTCTTGTCCTGCCTTCTGGTGCTTTGCAGAATAGCTTGACTCCCTCTTCTTTGGGGCAGCCCCTCAAGTACTAGAATGCTGCTATCATGCCCCCCCTAGTCCTTTTTATACCCAAACTGGCCAAGCCCAAATCCTGCAACCGTTCTTCATATGTTTTAGCCTCCAGGCCTTTAATCACCTTAGTTGCTCTTCTAAGCGAGTAAACACTCTATGGTGAGTAACCCTTTCAAGGAGGCATGAGTACAGCAGGAGAGGTGCTGAGCTAAAAAGGGTTATGTGATTGGCTAGCATAAGAGAAAGAAGAAAAGAAAGAAGGAAGGAAGGAAGGAAGGAAGGAAGGAAGGAAGGAAGGAAGGAAGGAAGGAAGGAAGGAAGGAAGGAAGAAAGAAGAAAGAGAGAGAGAGAGAGAGAGAGAGAGAGAGAGAAAGAGAAAGAAAGAAAGAAAGAAAGAAAGAAAGAAAGAAAGAAAGAAAGAAAGAAAGAAAGAAAGAAAGAAAGAAAGAGGGGGAGGGGGAGGGGGAGGGAGGAACAGAAGAAGGAAGGAAGGAAAAGAGAAAGGAAAGGAGGGAAGAGGGAGGGGGAGGGGGAGAGGGAGGAAGGAAGGAAAGGAATGGAAGGAAAGAAGGAAAGAAGAAAAGAGAAAGAAAGAGAGGGAGGGAGGAAAGGAATGGAAGGAAGGAAAGAAAAAAGAGAAAGAAAGGAAGAGGGATGGAGGAAAGAGGGAGGGGGAGAGAGGGAAGAAGGAAGGAAGG